GCAGTTGTTTTGTGATAATCAGTCGGCCTTGCACATTGCTAAAAATCCGGTGTTTCATGATCATACAAAGCATATTGAGGTAGATTGTCATTTTATTCGTGATGAGTTGTTGAAGGGTAATATTTCTACCTCTTATGTTTCGACGAATCATCAGTTGGCAGATATTCTTACAAAGGCTCTTGGACGACAGTAGTTTGGGTTTTTGTTACGCAAGTTGGGCATTCGTGATTTGCATGCTCCAACTTGAGGGAAAGTATTAGAAGTAGGTTGGTGTTATATATGTTAATATTGTATTTATGTCAAGTTTATCTTGTTAGGAGTTTTAGGCAAGTCAAGTATCTTTTGTATTGTGTATATATATATCGGGGTAAATATCAATACAAGGCTAAGCCATTTTCTCCAATTATTCTTGAGTTTATCAAACACTTTGTTCCAAATATGAATTTGAATGAATTAGATTAAAATGGGTTGTTTTAAGGGATTTCACTATTTGGCTCTTGAAAAAGCCTTGATAACTATGACTATTTGGTCCAAGTAGTCCTATCCTATTCACCGGGTCGAAGATCGGAAATATAAATTCAAAACTTGAAGACTGGACCGGTTCTGTTTGGGCTAGTTTTAGAATATCTTTTTTTATATATTTAATAATGTTAGGAAAAAAGAGAAAGATAAATCTAAGAAATAAGATTGTTAATGCCTATTTTGAATGTCTAATATATGATAGCTCATAATATAATAATATTTATATTATACTTAAGGTAAATAAATAAATATTATAAACGTTGTTAAATGCAAAAACCAATCTAATCCAACGTTGATTTTTAAGTGGTTTTGGATTGGATCGGACTGGACCGAAGACCAAAAATTTAACTTTCTTGACTCAAAGACCAAACTGGTTCTCTTTAGTCCCAGCCAGTCCAGTCCACATCGATTTTTGAACACCCCTAGACCCTAGGTCCAAGTCATTAATAAAGTTCTGCTAATGATTTGTTGTAAAGGTTTATGGTAAAAACTTATCATTGCTTTTTAGTGATACTATTGATTTTTTTATTTTTTTAACATAACAAAATAGAACTTATATAAATAGGCTAAAGCCAAGTTTACAATCACCACATATACCTTCAAGTTGATAATACAAAACTTGGTGTAGACTGTAGAGCAAAATAAGGCAAATTAAATGCCTAAGCATACATCCGAAACTTAAACCGAGACTAAAAACTAATACAACTGTCCAGACATACTTAATACACACAACTAAGTAGGAATAGTTATCATCTTGATCAGTTAGGACCAGCAACAGCCAGAGCAACCATAGCAGCTTCCCTGTCAGTTTCATACTCAATCTTGACACACTCGGGTACCAAATAATGGGTCTTGTACCCCCCAGCCATTTCCTTCCCGTGGACAGCAAGCTTATGAGCAAGCACATTGAGCTCACGAGGCACGTGTGAAACGAAAGCAACTTCAAATATAATCCATTGATCAGAGCAGCAGCATCACAAATGGCAGCAGCTAATTCATGACGGGGGTTCCCTGCTGTAGTCAGGACCATTGTGCGCAGAGAGTTGATATCTGTTTCTATTTCAATCTTCCTTATTCCCAAGTCTTTTGCCATAACAAGCACATCAATGATAGCATATAGCTCTGTTGCAAGAGGGTTTACAGCATTGTATTTGGCAGAAAATCCAATGTACCAGGATCCATAACTGTTGATTTTAATTGTAATATGTTTTACGCCATTTGTTTTTGCATAGTGTTATGAAATTATATATTGTTATAGGAATTGTGAAAAGAAAAATGCTGCATTTTGAAATCGTAAATGTCTCAAACAAAATCAAACAGCTCCTAAATAATTAAGTTTGAAAATTGAAAGTCTTTATACAAATAACAAAAACATTTGTATACACTTAATTGACAATAAAATAATTGACTCAAAAGACTAACAAATAATAAATTTTTTTTGGTGTTTAGAGAGCCCACAATAGGCAAGGGTAAGAATCGATCCCAGAATTTTCTGAATCGGGAGGAAAGCTCTAACCACTTGAGCTATGCATCACTCTCACAAATAATAATAAATATAAGGAATTTTTTTTTGCTGTTCGGTTCAATTTAGACATGTGCACATTACAATCCATTAGTCATAAGTTCGTAACCTCGTTCAGTTGTTCCTTTATTACAAATTTCCATAAATCCATAATCCATACTTCATTATCATGCCAAAATCATTTGTTTCAACTGACGTCATACAAAAAATAAAATGCAAATCCACACACAATTACTACGTATTGTTTTGTTAATAAATTTTCAATGGGCCTATATTACACATGACTGTAAGATTATGGTATAGCGCATACAAGCCCAACTATTTTTTATTTGTTTTTTTTAAGCATAAAAAATCTAGTCTCTTTGCTAAAGGTTTGGACTTATGCCACACCCATGCAGGAGAAGTCAGACTTGAGGCAGAAGAACTGAAGAACAAGCAGCAAATGCTCGTGCTCCTGTCTTCGGTGAAGTAGCTTTAGCACGGCGATGCAGCATTTGGCACAGGCGTGCAACTCATTCCAGGAAGTTCGATGTGCACAGTTTGCCATCAGTGCAAGATAATTGAGAAATGAAAGAAAAGCCTCAATTGAACTGAGTATGGCATAATGGCTTACATTTGTGGGAAGTTTTTTTCTTAATGACAACCTATTTTAGACTTGTCCAGAAAAAGTTGTTATGATATTAGTACATGTTAAGATTTCTAGAATAGTAATACTCGTAATTTATGGTTGAGTTTATCATTATACCCTTGCTAAGATTGAGTGATGAAAAAGATAGGAAAGTGTCCAACTTTCTACAATAATTTTGAGTGATATCTTGTGTCATATGCCTAACTATAAGATGTTAAGGGCACATGATTAATATTCAGACCGGACTAGTATTGGATCTGCAGGGTCCCAAATGAATTGGTTTATTCGAAAAAAGCCCTGTTCTTTGGAAGATCTATCTCGTGGTATGCGACAAGCAATTGCATGCATATTTGGTGTGGGAGATCTTCTGTAACGAGATGAATTCTAAGACTTGGAATCCGTATTTCATATCTATAAACATCATAATATTTCTGAATCAATGTCTTTGTACCTAAATAACCTCCTCTATTCAATGAGCTTCCTTCAAACATTTATGGTTCAAATGCTTCTTGTTATAATTCACATCCTTTTGACCTAGATACAAGAAAGAAGAAACCGTAATTCATCAGCATACTACAAAGGACTACTTGTCTACTTCTATTCTCTGTTCACTCAAAATATGACAATGAGAGCCATCTATTTATAAGCCGATAAATTTACAGAGAGAGGATATGGCCAAAGATTTTTAAGCCAGTGAAGCAGATGATATTTGAACAACGGATTTCCACATGGCAAGAAGACTACACAAGATATGAGGTTTATATATGGTGCAAGGCTAGAGTGGTGATAAGAGAAGCGCCAGCTACGAAAAGAGTATGAGCTAGCATAAGATCAGCAGTGATGGAATGGCAAACTTTGTTTGCTTTTTTTTCACCCCACCTTTGCATTTTCCTACGGATTAGACTACCTTCGCCAGTTACGAAGGAAGTTTCTAAGCTGATAGACGATCAGCCGTGATGGAAATCATGGAATGACAAATTTTCTTCGCCCTACCTTCGATGAATCCTACACTCGAATCTATAGCATACATACAGCTCTGACCAGAGAAATTTTGGGCTCAGTGATCTGCCCTATGTTTTTCGGCTCCAGAAACTGAACCTCAAAGGATTGATACTTCACATATCTGCTGACATAAAACCTCAGACACTTGCTAATCTACATAATGTTTTAAAAAACACTATTTATGGCGTCTGCAAGATATCACAGCTAACTCTGCTATTTTTTTTAGCATGAACATGCAACAGTCAGGATTCTTTTTTCAGGATCTAAATTCTACAGTGCTATTCCTACATACTGATTAATTACATTCTTTCTTAACGTCAACCTCCCTCAATCAAAGGGAGACCCAATTTGATCGAATTTTGGACAACTCAATGTTTGCTGGGAGCTGTTTTCCACTAATTATAGTTCAGAGAGGTATAGATAAGTAGTACAATACTGTAAGCGATAATCAGATATGTTCTCTGAAGTAGCCATTAATGTGAATTGACAACCAAAACCTCAATTGCTCACAAGCGAACAAAGAACAATCACCAGATAAGAGCACGTAGCAAAGCCAGCAAGTAGTAGGTTCAACTCAGGTACTCAACAACATGGCTTTTAAGGCATTCGTCCTCAATCCAAAAGGTCAGGCTAATATCAACTACATAGGAGATAGGTGTTACTCAATAAATACAGACTAAAGATAACTACATTCTCAGACTTTCTTCACCAGTTAAATAACAGATAACTTAGTAAATAATTAGTATATCTATTTAACCTATTCCCTCTCCCCATTGCTACAATTCAGCTGACCTAATACAAGCTTCACCAATGTCCTTGTCTCCTCTTCCCATCGGTACATCATTTTATCAATTAGTTTCCGATTCCATTAGAGTTCAAGAAAAGTCATCTCCAAGACACTGGAATCCTTTTACCTAAACTCACCTTTCAGCTTCTATCATCAAAAATGGTGACCAAACCCTTGGATTTGATCTTCTCTACTGTTTTGGCTTCTTGCTATTCAGTCAATCTCCAGTTGTGTGGTACCACTGTTTACGAGGGTTGTTGTTAAGTAAATCAAAGAAATTTAAATCATTTCAACTCTAGTTTTTGGCAGTCCAAGATGGGATTTATAGTCAAAGAACAAAGAGACAAATAAAAGTCTACCAAATTCAGCTCATATGTGTGAACTGAGGAGTATATATTCTTTGGTCAGAATGTGCTGCTTATTCTTAAAAGTTAAAAGCTAAACTCAATTATAAGTGGAAGCTAAATAAAACAGGAAAATTACTTATTTGACATTAAAAGGAGTGTCCATTCTAAAAAAATACTTCATATATCATATATTTTTGTAATATGCCTAGGAGCAGAGATTCAAGAATAGATGGTAAAAAAATTGAGTACTTAAAGTTTAGGTATAAAATAAAAAAGGGGCCAGGGTAAACATTTAATATGGATGTTCACCATAGGTAGAATGAATACATTAGCCCCACACTAAAAAAAATTCATACAGCATTCACTATTTTCACTTGTTCATTCCCGAATTTGAGAGTAATCTTGACTTAAGATGGGTCATGATTATTCCTTCAAGAATGTATGGAAGTGTAACAGAACGTTTTCCAAATCACAAACTTAATTAAATTGCTAGGGTTCAATATCCAAATTCATATCAAACATCTTACCATATTGGTAGCATCATCCTTTGCCAGGCACTTCATCTCAGAAAACTACACACAAATTACCAAGTGAGTCTACCAAGTACAAGTACTAATTTAACAAATTGTATCAGGCAATCTAAAAATAATAATTTTTTTGATAAATTGCCATGAAGAAGATGGGGAAGTATTCCACAATTCCAAAAAACAACCTAACATATAGACAGTGCCATAACTCATAACTGCATACAACACATGGATTGGGGGGAACCAGAGAAGGGGGCTAAAATAGTTAGGTCCTTCACTCGCCCCCAGTCATGAAACTCATGAGTAAAGACAGGCCAAATACAGTTCCATATTGCCTCCCAACCGTTTCAGTAACTTTCAACTGACTATTCCAGCAGAACTCAGGGTCAGTCTCTTCTTGTAAAATTTCAGCTAGCATACTATGCTCAAATCCTTACTTAGTTACTTGTCTTCCACACTTAAAATCAGTGTTATTCCACAAATAAGACGCGGTTAAAAATAAATGATATACCCAATGCATTCTATTTTACTCTGTAGAATAATAATAAATCCATGATAAAGCTGAGACCCATCAGCCATACCTTGAAACTGATTTATAAAGCTTGAGCCAAAGTTCCTTCTAGATAACTCCTTCCTGTTCAACATAATCAAATTCAATTTAATCATCAAAGAGTTAACACATGAATGAATCATACAAGTTTCACAAAGACTTCTTACTATATATTTGAATATTTCTTTATATGCCCAAAAAAGGAACAATCCCTACACAAGCCACACCTTAATAATAGAATATTAGTGTGACCAGAATATCATTTAACCACACATGTTTAGTAACATTCTGGTTCTGGTTTCATTCCCACTCTGTGTACCCCAAATACCGATTAGGTGATATATTATGTCAGTTCTCAAGCTCTGAAATCCAGGGTGATTGTCAATATCAACAATTGTACTGAACAGACATTATTGTAAAGCAAGACTAATGAGTTCCCAAAAGACATGATTGTATATAAATAACTACCAATGTAAAGCAGCAAAATCTATCAACATTCTAAAGCCACTATTAGAAGACCGGAAAATAAAACTTAGAATTTTAATATTAAATGAGGGGGGTTTATTACAGAAGAAGAATACCAGCAGTTAAACACAAGAATACCAGCAGACTACCAGAATTCTAGCAGCACATATAAAGCTATAATAGTTAAAAAATTCTCATGCTATCAGTTACCAAAACTCTGAAAATCAGGGTTACTATGAAATCTCCATATCGTGTCCCAAAAAACTGATAACTAGGGCTATCATAATACTTCCAACAGTTTTCCTTCATAATACAAATAATTCTCCCTATAGTAAATGTTGCAGGGAAAATGATATTTTTGCTAAGTGAAATCATAGTTAGCAGCAACATAGTTTGAAGATTAGTCTATAAATAGCAAAAATGTAATTAATTTATCAACAAGAAGAGTCCAGATAGAAGATAGGAACACAAATTTTGAGTCACTAAAAAGAAAACTTAACCTTAAAACAGGTCCATTTGGGATCGTCATATACTAGCATGATTCACACTACTATGCATTTTAGCTGAGTGGTCAGCATCAGCTTCCTTTGATTCAATATTTGAACCACCCAAGGGCTTCTTTTTTTTCAATCTGTGGAGATATTCCTTCAGCACAAGCTTATCTCCTCTTGTAAGTCCAGTTACACCAAACCCATCAGGGTCCTGCAAGTGCATATTGTTCACAGGATTCAACAACTCCAAGCTGGACCTGAACATCCTATCTTTTCTCAGAAAAACACTCTTGGCATCGAACCAAGCTGCCCAACCCTCCCTCAGCGGTGAACCATGTGAATCCAACTTTAATAGAAGCACATCCTCAATTTTATTAACCTTTACCACCTTCCTTCTCACCTCCTCATCTACAGGCATATCATCTGAACCAAATGCAACCTAGTCAAACAAATCTTTTCCTTTTAATCAGAGAGATCCATATTAACACACACAAATGATATATTTTAACAAAAACATACACAAATGATATTTTATTACAACAACAACAACAAAAAAAAAAAAAAGGAAGTTGGCAACTGCCAAGAAAAATCAACTTAGAACCCAACTACAACCCCCTCTCCCCCACAATTAAAAAAAAAATGAAAAAAAAGGCAAGATTTAAAATAAAAGGATCTTGCTAACAAACGTCACCGGGGCGTTAGATAAGCATTTAAAATATTACCTAAATTGGTATTAATTTAGGAATGCATGCCAAATCACGCATCAATCGGTGTAATTAATGTTCATTTTAATTCAACATTTCTACTTTTAGTTGTCTTAACCAACACCCCCGGGGCGTACATTAGCTTTTGCCAAAATAAAAAAGGGTTTGTAGTGAGGGGCTTTCAGATCAACTAATAACATTTATAGGCATCTAGCTATCCAGAGTCTGAATTCATGACAATATATAGTAAAGTACTCCATAGAGAATAATCAAGAGAAAAAGAACCAACCTTGCTCAGCTTTTCCTCAGAAGCAATCCCAGCCTCAAACATCGTTGCATGAGCCTCCCACTGGTCAAACTCATCAATAGACTTTCCATCAAATGTACGACGAATAACATGAGATGCGTGATCAAAGAAGTAACCAGAAGATACAGTAGATGAAATCGTAGTATGCTCATTTTCCTCCCCTTCAGATTCTAAAACCCTCAGGATTTCCTCCTCATTGGAAACCTTGGAGTCATCATCGATGACATCAAGCTCATCAATTCGGTCATCTGACAAAGTGGCTCTTAGGTCAGGATCAGAGTCTTGAAGTAGTGGATCCTCAACAGCAAAAAGATCGTCAAAGACTGCAACTCCATCATTCAGGAAAGGACCCCTCCGGTTTGCTGTGAGGCGATTGTAGAGAAGAGTGACTGAAAAGAGGAGGAGCATAGCTGATGCAACTGCACACAAGTGCACTCCATACCGATTACGACGTCTTGTACGGAGTGTTCCAAGCATCTATACAAAACCAAATTTGAATAGAATCACAAACAACTTCTAGAGCTAAGACTCTCAACCTAGCCAACTTTAAAAAGGACTGTATAGACTGAAACAAATCTGCGACTTAGTTTAACTCCAAAAGGCCTACTTTATACAGTGTACATATTGCTATAAGTTGCAGCTACTTTCAAAGTCACTTAGAGGATGAACGGAAAGCGCTCAGTGGGCTCATTTAGCTGCTAACGAAAGAAAGCTATTTAGAGAAGTATGCAGATCATATGATTTAAAAATGCTACAGCCAGTACAAGGTACTGAAATGTGTGCTTTGCTTTCCCTTTGGAAGAAAAAACTGTCGAACAAACTGATTCTCTACAGCCATTCTTGTTCCTTACTTGTTTTGATTGAAAAGTTTGAAAATTTGTTTTGCTACTCAAACTAAATTATGCTAAGCACTGAATTATTTATTCACTTAATGCAAATTATGCTTGTAAGTTGTAACTATTGCAAGTATTAAGTTGGGGAAAGAGAGAAGTGTACCTCTGATAAAACTCACACAACTAGCTTCTCCAAGTAAGTCCTGATTGCACAATGAAGTGCCTGCACACCACCTTTATGAAAAACATATCATCAATTGATCGATCGCGTCTACTGATGATTTACATTCTCTATTATCAATGTTTACACAAATACTCAACACCGCGAAAAACAACTTCCAAGTTAGACCATGAACTGAACCAATATACAGTATTTCTACCTTCATTACACCATTAACAAATAAACATCTTGCTCCAAATTTGTAATTCTCAAACAATTGGATAATATCCCATTATCCCTACAAGATCCAGGTATATGTCCGAATAATTAAGCAAATTACAGTCAATAAAAATTTTTTAAAAAAAATTCCACCTTTTCTGGCAAAGAATTTTCCAACAAAACATTACTGTAATTGATTAATATAAACTTTAGAAATAGTACATGTGATAAATTTTCAATCTTAGGAGTTAATTAAATGATAATTAAACATGAATAAAACCAACACAAATTACTGATCTTTATAGCAAATTTGATTATTACGATTTACGAAGAAATAACAAACAATAGAAGTTGAACAAACTGAATTTTTTAAAAAAACTTACGAAAGATCAATTGAGAAAAAAAGGGAGAGAAGGTTAGTTACTAACCCAGTAAGTTAAACAACAATGACTGACAACATCTACGACATTGTCATTATGATCTCGAATTTTCCTGCAACTTGTTTGCCAATAAAAATGGGAAATTTATTGGACAAATTTTGATTTACAGACAATTTAATCGGGGCAGCAACGCCAAGCGCAGCAACGGGTCTAAAGTTAGACTTGTATTTGAGTAGATTAATCATATCTGGTATTCTGGTCAGTTATGTTTTTACTTGCCGAGTACGAGTGCTCCGTTTTTACCGATCAGTGGGTTACAATTAGCTACTAGAGTCAAACTGGCTACTTCTTCCGTTTCATATTAAGAGCATAGTCAATGGATGCCCATTTTGGGTAGGCATGAAGCCATGAAGTGAGAAAATAAATAAATAAATAAAGCTTAAAAAATGAAAAAGTTGTATTTTTGGTGAGAAATAGTTTATGACCAGGTCATGGCCATAATCATTTGTTGAATGTGGGCATTTAGTGGTATTTCGTCACTTGTTCAACAAAGAGAGGTGGTTCAATTTTATTTTTTTTTAAATTCATGTGGGAAATAGAAGGAAAGGAGAATCAATGCCCACAAAATTGAAGGGCAACCAATGGAAGTGCATGGACATAAGTGGATATGAGAGTTGGGCATAAATGAGGTGGAAGAAAGAGAAAGTGATAAAAATATGATGACCACCATTAGCTTGAGCATCCATTGGCTATGCTCTAAATGCAACACTAGGGTGCTCATAAAATTTAAGAAAATTTATAGGGTAGGGCCCAAATGTGAATTTTTCATAATATAAAGTATTGTCGGTAGGAGTGAGAAATAATTAAAAAAAATATTATAAGTGGGGTTTGTACGAAAAAGAAATAATAAAATATTTGTGAAAGTTGGGTTAGTGGGAGAGATAAATTATCAAATAATGGTGGGTCCTTGCCAAATATAGTAGTGTTGCAAATATTATGAAACGACCGAAAATAAAAAGTGTTGCATTTAATATGAAACGGAAGTAGTAATACTTATCGAGTACGGAGAACATGTTCTATTCGTCTCATTAATAAGTCCAGCTCAATAAGAAATATTGTTGTAAGATTTAAGAGAAGGGCCTAACTTTTTTTTTTTTAAAGAAAAGTTAGTGTTTTATTAATCAAGGTTTAGAGACAAACGATCCATGAGAAGGGCCTAATTTAAATAAGACAAATAGAACAATGCTTAATTGATTTTTGTACCATCATCAATTTTTGTGGAATGTATAGTATTGTGATTATTGCAAAACATACAGAGTAATTCTACATTTAACCGCATACTCTCTTCATTTTTTACTATTTCGTAATAATCACAACACTTTTCATTTACGTTCATTTCATAATAATTGCAACACTTCCTTATTTGGTAATAAACCAATAGGAGTACTCCGTACTATTTTATTCTTTCTCTCTCCTACCAACCCTACTTATACTACTTTTTTTACTATTTCTCTCTCTTACTAACATTTAAAAATATATCTCCACTAATTATACTTTACATAATAAAATTCTCCTTTTGGTTTATATCCTAAAACTTTGTACAACACTTACGAATGGAGAGAGTATTGTGAGAAGAATAAGTATAGTTATGTAAGGTCTAGATTTTTCTTAGCATAATAATTCACGATATCAGTTGCTTATAATTTTCAACAATAATAATAAAGAGATATTTAAGGTTCAAAATAGCGTTCTACCGTGGTCAAATTTTATTTTCGTAGCTTAGTATTTAAGGTTGGTAAGATATGAATAAAATATCTACCGACTATTACTCATTATTTGTATTACTTAGAAATCCGTAATATTCCCCTATTTTCGAAAGTTCAACTTGTTTTCCCCGTCAAAAAAAAAAAAAACTTGCTTTCCATCTTGAGTCATTATTTGTAGAATCAATGTCAAAAACAAGTATCTCGTTTAAATTTTCATCTCCAAATCTGCATTTTGAGCCCAAATTTATCGAGACCTTGCTGCAAATTCTTCGAGACCTTGTTGGATTGCTGCAAATTGAAGGTTGCTTGTTCAATTTGGTGAATTTGTTTCAAATTTCTTCATCAGCACTCAAATTTTCACTCGAGCATGCAAAATGGAGCTCATAAAAAGGTATAAGTAGATTATTACTCATAATTTCTTAAGTCTTTTGTAATCTTAGCTATAATTTGGTCTAAATTCAACAAATCGTTTCAAATTAATTTTATCTGATTTTTACTAATATAATTATAGATGTTTGGATAGAGAATTGTGCGATTTGATGTTTTTTTCTTTTTATTCAGTTCAAATTAATTAAGAGTCTTTTTATTTAAAGGTTGTACTTTTTGACAATATTATTCTTTTTTATGATTTGCCATCCTTTTTTCTTTAACTTTTTTGTACTTTTGACATTCTCTCTCATTCTCATTAATAATTCTTAATCATTTTTTTCTCTCTCTATCCCTCTCTAACCCCACATAGATATCTACAACATTTTTAATTATGTGAAAAAACCCAAATATGTTCTTAATAAAAGGGAGGAGGGAGTACCCTTTCCTTTGATTTTTTTAAAGTAGACCCTTAATGTTGATAACGAAAACATAAGAACGAATCCCGCAAGCCGTAATCTTGTCTCTTTAAGGACTTTCTCTCCAGTAACACAAACCCAAAGGCCAAAGTAGATCCATTGAACACTTTCATTTTGTGACACACATCAAGATTTAAAGACTTCTTCTTTTCCACAGTTTGGTTTTCTGACAATATCAACACTCAAAACTAACCAATCTTTGAACTATGCAGTAATTTGCACAGAAAATTTTCAATTTCATCCCCAAATTCATACAATTACTTCGTAAATCAATACTCAAAATTGTCAGAACCAATCTATTTCGTCAATTACCCAATATATATATATATATATTTTTTTTTTTAAAAAAAAAAAAACTTGAGCAAAAAGTCAAAATTACCCCTAAAAATCTACAACAAGCTTAGCTTACAGCTGCCTGTCCCACACTGACCCTACCATTAGTCCATTACCCTGATATCAGCAACAGTTTCATAGCCTATAAACCAAACTTAACCCAAAAAATATAAAATTAAAAAGAAAAATAACAAAATAAAAAAAAAGCAAACTTTGATTTACGAATCTCAAGGGTTATACCTGGAAACTTCAAACCAAATTACAGAATCCATAGTTTTAACTGTTAAGTTCCCCAAATTTGTTTTCCCACATACCCTAAATCCGCAAGACCAATTTCTGATTTTTTCCATGTTACAGAAAATTTAATTCAAGAAAAAAAAACCCACAAAAAATAAGAGAAGAAAAAGGTACATTTTGATTTTATAATAATTGGCCTAGTTAACCAAAGTCCAAACTTTTGTTAAGAGTTAGAGAGAGAAACACACAAATTCGAAGAGAGAGAAAGAAATACCACACCATTACCATTACCATTACCATTACCATTGTCAGACCACCAATTTCATTTTCACCCCCCTACCATGGCAAAATTAAGGTACACTACATTTTTCACAACATTTTTTTAATCTGCAATTTTTTTTATATCTAAGTTTTAATTTCATATAAATTCATTGTTTCTGCATTTAGTATATTTTTGGGTTAGGATTAGAATGTTACAGTATATTTTTATAAAATTTATGTCACGTTGTTACAGTACATTTTCAACCCCCTTAAAGCTAAGCTTGCTTCCCCGTCACTACCAACAAACCCAAAAAAAAAAAAAATTTCTTGGTCTAATTATGAGAATAAAACCCCATTGATCATATTATTAGATTTGAACAAACCCAGGTACAATTAAATTTTGTCTGCTTTTTAATTAATTGGTTCATGTTTTAGGATTATTTAATTTTTAAGATCTATGCCTAGGGTTTTCACCTGAAATAAACTTGTTCTTAATTTATTAATTCTTGGGTTTTAATTCATTGGTTGTGTGAAGTTTGAAACTTTATATGGGTTTCAATTCAATTTTGGGTTTTGAAGTGGATTGGATCTTGAAAATTATTAATTTGGTTGAATTGTTACAATTGGGTGTGCTGAATTTGAAAGGTGACATGCACAAGTTGTTGTACCTGTTCTTGAAAATGTTACTCTCAGTTCATAAAGTATGTTACTCTCAGTTCATAAAGTTTACACCTTTAGGAATTTATTACATGCACAAGTTCTTGATTGTTCATTAACATGCTAGTTTGTTCTGAAAGTTTATACCTTTCGCTCGAAAATCGGTTCCGGTGTTTCTTGGTGGAATTGAATTGTGTCACTTATACGAACAGCAACGTTACCTGAACTGTGCATTGCTTGAAAGCCTTGAATACCTCCCTCCCTCAAAACAGGGAAAAAAAAGGAAATAAAGAGAAGAATATATATATATTTTTTTTTGAAACAAATAGAGAGAAGAATAATAAATTCTATTTTTTTTTACGTTAATTCACTAGTGCAAAATTGGGTATGAAAACACAATTCACTCCGTAATTTAGTAATTTAGGCCATAATGTGCCACTTTCATGTATTAATTTGCCTTTTTTGGTTCACAGTTTGCGGCAAATTCAGTAATTCTCAGCGATTGATAAGGTAAGTATTTGATGATATTCTCTTTGTAATTGTGTCTATTATAGGAGTATTATTTTATGATTTTTGTAAACAAATTTTTTTCGTTGTGTAATAGCTACGATAAGTGTCACTATTAAAGCCTCATTTCTCCTAGTTATTGTATGGAAATTTTTATATACACCCGAGACGCACTAAGGTTTTTTTTTGGGTAACTAACCATTCTCATTTAGTCATCAAGGTATTGTTAATTAAAGTTGAATAAAAAAGAAGACGAAAGAAATTGTTTATTGTTTGCAGGTAGGTTGGGAAAAGCTGATTGAATTGATAATTGACCTAAGTGACCTGAAAATGGTTTTGTAAATTTGTAAAATGGTTTTGTAAATTTGTCGACATGAACCCGACCCGAAATTAAATAGGTTAGGTTAAGATTGAGAATTTTTAACTAGGAAATGACCCATGTTACCGAACTAATATAGGGGTCGGAACCCAACCTTATAACCCGAACTAAGGGGCAAACCAAACATCCTTTTAGGCCCATATACAACAGCCAATCACCCTTTGAAAACTACTCCCAGTGCAACTACCTATGTTTACAATCGACTAACCCTAGGTTTATTACCGCCTACCCTTTTTTTAACCCTCTCTTTCTCTTTGTCTCTTCACTTATTCAATGGCAGTGATTTAGTCCTTTTACTTTCTTTATAAGTCCTCACTGTTGCTATTCACCACCTTCACCGGCCCTATTGCTCCATGAGCTCACGCCAACCCAAATATGGCAGGTCAAATGGGTTTGAGTTGTCCATTTATTTCCTCTGTTCTTCTAATATTGCACCATGCTGACTTTTACATTGCTAATGCACAACTTTGATCGTTAATAGGTTTAGCTCTTAATAAATAAAATTATACAAAGTTGATATTTTAAAAGTACAACTGTATTATTTTTTACATATAAGTCACAATAGATTGTCGAAGGAGAGCATGCGAATAGTGTAAAAGTCAACATGATGCACTATCAAAAGAACGAAGGAAGTACAAAACGTTAAAACAAAATTTTAAAAATTTGGGTTAAACATGTCAACCCGAACCCGATTTGGAAAAAAAATAGGTTAGGGTTTAGAAATTGAACCTGAAAACTTAAACATGTAAGGTTTGATTTTGTGGTAGTCAAACCGATCTTAACACAAAACCAACCTAACACGACCTGGTTGCCTACCCAATTTTTAGGGGAAGTGGAAGAAACTAAAAGGGTTTTTGCTGATTGAAAGTGAATATAATAAGTTGGTGTATTACCAAAAATGTAGTTAGTGGATGATGGTCTCCACACAAATGATAAGGCTTTTGTTTAGGGACAAGAACTTCGGGTCTTCTGAACAATGGGGTTTTAATTTAAGGCAATGTATAAAAAAGCTCAAGGCGCAATGAGGTTATAAAGGTCCTGCAGCTAGGCGCTCCTTGGCCACGCTTCGGTGCACCTCTTGGAAGTCAATCAATCAATCAAACCCTTAATCCCATAAGTGGGGTCGGCTACATGAACTAAAAGTGATTATTTTGTATAGTCACTCACAAAAATCTTCCTCCTCCATCCCTTATGATCAAATACCTCATTCTCATGCAAATCCATATATTTTATATCCTTCCTAACTCCTTCCAACCAAGTCATTTTCGGTCTCTCTCTGCCTCGTTTAATCTCTCCATGATCCCACTCTTCGTACCAGTGCCCCCAAGGGTCTCCATCTTACATGCCCGAACCAACACAGGCGATTTTCCCTTAGTTTGTCTACAATGCCTGCGACACCCACTTTCTTGCGAATAACTTCATTCTTGGAAGTGAAGCGCACAATATAAATTGGTTAAAGAAATCTGCTTGATTTTGGATTTATTTTTTTGTTTAGGTATATGAATGAGTGAAGAGATTTAATGGCATTGTGGTTTTTATCTTGGTGATATGGAAGTTCTTAAGTGTCCTGCCCTCCTCTATGCTGAAAATTCTTGCCACTCTCAAGAGAAATCAGTCATGGAGTTTGTGCAAGATTCAGAATCAAATAGTGTTAAGCATGCCGAGCAAATATCTGTAGAAGAGAAGGAAGTGGATCATTTTCTGCCAAGTTTGAAAGTGGCCATAGGCACGATGCAATGTGATGGTCAAGACCAAGATGGAGAGGCTCTTATGTTAGAAGAGAGATCTAATGGGTCTTCACACTCTGGTTCTGATTTGTTGAGCCAGAATTTGTCTGGGGTAGTTCTTGATCATGATGATGATAACCTCGAGGAACAGGTCCAATATAAAGAAACTTACCTTGATTTTCAGAACTCTCATGTAGATGTGAACACAATTGAAAGTGAGCCACATTCTGAAAATAAAGAAGACGAGTCATTAATATCAGCAACCAGGTGGCCTGAGCAAGATGAATCTCTTGCATTATGGGTTAAGGTATGGTTTCTTTTGCATGGTTATTGCAACTCTGCCAATCATGTCTCACCCATTATACTGAATAGTTGGACTAAGCTGTCAGGACTTGAGTGTTAAGATTAAGATTTAAAGTTGTTGTTTTGATTTTCAAAAACTGTATTCTTAATTCAATTTTAACAATTTCAAAAGAAATTGTGACATTTTTTGTCCAAACATTTTAAAAAGCTTAACGTCCTGATCTTCTTTGTGCCTAAATAACACTCATGTGTAGCTTAAAAGTTTTCTCCTGTCATTTAAAGAAATTTAAGAAAGATTTGTGGCCTTGTATATTAGAAGACATGTGATTCTTTTTCAAAACCAGATAGTGGAGCTAAACTTTCTTTTCTAATGTCTGTCTTAATCTACTCCGCAAGTATAGTGGAGAGGAAAGTGGCAAGCTGGAATCAAATGCGAAAGGGCAGACTGGCCATTAGCGACTGTGAAAGCAAAACCAACTCATGACAGGAAGAGTTATATTGTGATATTCTTTCCACACAAAAAGAATTATTCTTGGGCAGATACACTGCTTGTTTGTGCAATTGATGAGCTTCCGCAGCCTATTGTACACCGGTCACATAAAGTTGGAGTGCAAATGGTTGAAGATTTGACTGTTGCACGCCGCTTTATCATGAAAAAGCTAGTAATTGGCATATTGAGTATTGTTGACCAGCTTCCTGTTCAGGTGCCAATTCTGTGGTCCTCTTTTCTTCTGACATTTCTTAACATATCTCTTCTTATGGTACAGTTAATGCTTTTAAAAATTGAAATATGCAATGTCTTGTTACATGCAATTTTAGTGCTTTGAGATATTCTCACTATTAGCTGTCTTGTAATGGCGATTCAATTGTCTTAGGTGTTGCTCGAAACTGCTCGTGATGTAGTTGTATGGAGAGATTTCGCTGCAGAGGCTTCTCGCTGTAAAAGTTATCCTGATCTTGGAAGATTGCTCTTAAAGCTTCAGAATGTAAACTCCTTATTCTGTTAATATACTACAACCCTTTTTCTCTATATGTTATTCACATGTCATTTTTTGCACTATTATTTCCAAATGTGAGCTGGTTACATGGGTTCAAGGAGGTTCTCTCGTAAACCGTGAATTATATAATCATATACCAGTAATTCTTTTGTATTTCATTATTTGAGTCAAATAGATGGATACTTCTGCAGAAAATATAGACCTGCTATCTGCAACTTCCTGGTGGTAATTACAGTTGCTAAGAGTATGCCCATTAATGACCAAGGGCCTTGGATTGGTCACCAATTTTTTTTTAGTCCCTTTGTCCCTAAATAAAAGGCCCATTTCCTCCAAAACTCTTGTCCCTAAATAAACGCCCAAATTCTCATTTTGGGTGGAGTCCTTCATCACTAACTTTTTTTTTATTGACTTTTAATCAACAAAACCCCTCTAGCCCACTGTATATTCCCTTCACTTCCCCTAAAATTAATAAACTATTCACACTACCTTATTTTTTATTCAACTTTAATCAACGACATCCCACTATAATTCCTCTCCTAAACCCTGTGGCCAAGGAAAATGGGGATTGTATTTAGGGACAAAGAGGGAGTAGTAAATTGTGTGGAGAGAGAAATGAGTCAAATGGTGACTAAATATTTCTCTCTTTTCACCTTTCCTCTCTCTCTCTCTCTCTTTCTCTATATATTGCTCCCCTCTCACAATTTCCCACAAAGTAAAGTAAAACACAGCCCTTGGTCATGGATTGGCATCCTCTAATTCCTAAATTGTTGAAGTGTCAGGTCATTTGAGGCTTTGAGCTGTTTTAAAATGACATGGACTTGACTGTAAAGCAACGCCATTTTCTTGTTTGGTGTGGCTCATGGCATTTAGATCTACAGGCTAGGGTTGTTACAGCTCGGAGTTTGGTTGTGCTCTAGGTGGTGTTTGAATTTGCAAGCCGTTTCTAACTCTATAATTTAACTCCTTGTGTGATATTTGAGTTGCATTATCATCTGCTGAACTACTTTCTTTTTCTTATCTAATTGTTTGATTTAAATTACTTTTAACTTATATTGATACTCTTCTTATTCTCCTCCTCTCCTCTACTCCTCCTTTGCTACAGATGGTATTGCGGCAGTACATCGATGCTAACTGGCTGCAACATTCTTTCCAACTGTGGGTAGATAAGTGCCAGAATGCTGTCAGTGCTGATTCCATTGAACTTCTGAAGGAGGTAACTTCTTACCTCAAAAGAATTTCTCTGTATACCATTGGATGTGTATATGTGAGGATGCTCTTTATATACAGAATTTTTATTTTAAGAACAATTAAGCATGACCTCAGCTTGCTTACTAGCCATCAGTGCTATATGCATAAGTTTGGCGGAATTTAATGATATCATATTAAAATCTGTGTAGAAATTAATTGGTAAGGAAGAACTATGAGATTTCTCCCTTCACTCACTCTCGATGTCACTCCCTCTCTTCACCTTCTCTCTCTGCATAAGTAGTAATTACCTTCCAAGTGAGTATTGAAGAGCTGCAAGTAGGCTCCTTTACCTTGCCTGATGTTGGTAAAAACCTTGTGGATCTAACTTGTGTAGCCAAGGGCCATTGCTTTGAAGCTTTATTGATTCTGAGCTGTTGGCCACCGTTGAGCTTTTATTGCCCCCATATCTCTCCCTATCAGTTTTTTGGATTATACCTTACAAATAATGTTTGGATTAATTGATCTAAGTCATGTAGCCAAGAGCCATTGCTTTGAAGCTTTATTGATTTTGAGCTGTTGGCCACCGATGAACTTTTATTGCCCCCATTTCTCTCCCTTGATAGTTGTTTGGATTATAGATTACAAATAATGTTTGGATTAACTTACATTATTGTATGTTATTGATGACCATGATTGTTGATGTAACTTCCAAAGTTCCAAGACTCTGTGATAATCTGTTGCTCCCTTTCTTAAAATGTTGGAATTCTGAACCAATTCTGCTGCCGTGGTTGCTATAATTCATTGAGGACAGTGACGGACCAATGACAAGTTCAACCATTTCCTGAGCTTTGCTGGAGGCCTGGAGCAGCAAAATGAATTCATGTGACATGGTTTTTCCTAAAATGATTATTGAATGATTAATTACTTTATGCACCAATGGGTTGTTGCCCCCCTCAGCCTTATTCTATTCATTGTAGCTAGTCATTCACCAACCTAATTAAGTTGTGGGGACTTGCAATTATTAGCCTCCTATTTGACCTTTAAATGTGAAACTAGAGCAAAGTAATGTGTAAACTTCCCCTCATGAGGAATGCTTTCTTGGAATATTTTTATTCAATCATTTTTTGCGGAACCTTCCTTCTAACCTCTGCTTATGTCCCATTTTATAACTTATTGCTTCAGGAATTGGTGAATTCTATTTTGTGGAGTGAAGTCAACGATCTTCGAGATGCCCAAGGACAGCCTGCATTAGGTTCTGAGTGGAAGATGTGGAAGCATGAAGTTATGAGAAGTTTCTCAATGACGCAGTCTGTGTCCGGTGGTGGAGGCGTAAAACAGCCAAGCAAAAATGGCATAGAAGATTTTAGTGTTAGTCCACCGATGACAAGTCTTCAAATTAGCCGGAAGAGACCTAAGCTTGAAGTTCGTCGTGCAGAGCCACATAATTCTGTAGGTGAAAATAAGAGCTGTCAGGAAAATACCATTGTTGAGATTAATTCGGCATTTTTTTCTGATCAGAGCACTATGAATGCTGATAATGCGCTCTTGCCTCCTAAAGAGGACCTTTTAGGCCAGACAATAGCACAAATTTCCTCACCGAGCAATGCCATAGATGGATGGGATGGGGACCATGGGGTTGTGGTCGATACTTTAAACGCAGAGTCTACCCAGAAAGAAGATAGTAGACTGCAACCCGTTAATGGAGTGGTCGAGACAAAATCCCCAGCTTCTAGAGTCAATAGTCGGAAATGCATTGCTTTTATTGAGGCTAAGGGAAGGCGGTGTGTAAGGTGGGCTAATGATGGTGATGAATACTGCTGTGTTCATTTGATGTCTCGTTTTGCAACACAATCTGTCAAAACAGAGACCTCTACACCAGCTGAATCATCTATGTGTCAAGGAACTACCACTCAAGGTACCAGGTGCAAACATCGCTCTCTCCCAGGTACCTCCTTTTGTAAAAAACATCGCCCCCATGGTGATGGAACAATGCCCCCAAGTTCACCTGGAAGTCAGTTAAAGAGAAAACATGACGAGCTGCTAGACAAGTCCGAGAACACATGTAAGGATATTGTTATAGCTGGGAGAGCTGAAAGACCTCTGGAAGGACATTTGAACACACTTATGGAAGGAACTACCTCTAATGGAGGAGAACTTGAACTGATAGTGCCTGAACAACATGCTGAGGATTCTAACAATAAGAATGTAGAGATAGCTTATTGTGTTGGATTGGGCATGCATGAGGGCCATTCAAACTGTTTAGAAAGCCCTAAGAGGCATTCTTTATACTGTGATAAACATATACCTAGCTGGCTGAAACGTGCTAGAAATGGTAAGAGTAGGATAATCTCCAAAGAAGTTTTTGTGGATCTTTTGAGGACATGTTCCTCCCAGAAGCAGAAAACTCATTTGCATCAAGCATGTGAGCGTTTCTACAATCTCCTTAAAAACTTATTATCCTTGAGAAACCAAGTTCCCAAAGAGACTCAATTTCAGTTGGTGTTGTCTGAAGCTTCTAAAGATATACATACAGCTGAACTTTTAATGAAGCTGGTTTCCAGAGAAAAAGAGAGGTTGACAAGGATATGGGGCTTTAATTTAGAGAAGGATGCGCAAGTTTCCTGCTCTCCTGTAGAGGAATTAGCTCTGGTCCCTGTAGAAGAAGAGGCTGTTGATGATGGAAGTTTCAAATGTAAAATTTGCTTTGAAGAGTTTTCTGATGATCAAACACTTGGGACACACTGGATAGACAGTCACAATAAGGAAGCACAGTGGCTTTTTAGGGGCTATGCCTGTGCTATTTGTCTTGATTCTTTCACTAACAGGAAGGTTCTTGAGACACATGTACAGGAGAGACACCATGCTCAGTTTGTTGAGCACTGCATGCTTATCCAGTGTATTCCTTGTGGCAGCCATTTTGGTAATTCTGAGGAGTTATGGTCACATGTTCTTTCAGCTCACACAGAAGGTTTTAGACAATCAAATAGAGGGCACAACGGTCACCAATTAGTGGGTTCTCAGCAGAATCTTATTCCCTCGACACTTGCCTCTGTTGATAATTCTGAGAGTCAGAGCAGTATTCGGAAGTTCATTTGTAGATTCTGTGGGTTAAAGTTTGATCTGCTACCTGATTTAGGCCGTCATCATCAGGCAGCTCATATGGGGCCAGGTTTGGTAAGCTCTCATCCAAAGAAGAAAGGCCTCCGCTTTTATGCGTATAGACTAAAATCAGGAAGACTAAGCCGTCCCAGATTCAAAAAGGGTCTTAGTGGAGCATCTTATAGACTCAGAAATAAGGGTAGCTTAGTTTTAAAGAAACGATTACAGCCTGTTAATCCTATTGGCGCTGGACAAATAAATGTGCAATCTCATGTAATGGATACTGCTGGTCCTGTTAGACTTACCGAGGCTCAGTGCTCAGCTATTGCACAGATGTTGTCTTCTGAAGCTCAGAAAACAAGAGCACGTCCTAGTAATAATGAAATCTTATCTATTGCTTGCTCTGCTTGCTGCAAGGTGAGTGTTCAGAGGTCACTAGAGCAGAAGTATGGAGAATTGCCTGAACGCTTATACTTGAAAGCTGCTAAGCTTTGCAGTGAACATAACACTCCAGTAGATTGGCATCAGGAAGGGTTTAATTGCTCTAAAGGATGCAAACCACAGGAAGATTATATTTTGGGGTCTGTTTTGTCTTGTCCCATTAATGAATGTGGAAGGCTAAATTCACCTTCTCCAAATCCACAAGAGGAATGCGAAATGGATGAGTGCCACTTTGTCATGAATCCGCAATATTTTAGTTGGAGACACTTACAAACCACCATTATCTTGTGTGATGATATAAGTTTTGGAAAAGAAAAGGTATCAGTTCCTTGTGTGGTTGACAAAAACCTGCTAGATTCACTTCATAATCCAACATATGACTTTGATGGGCAAGCATTTTTCATGCCGTGGGAGAGCTTTACATATGCGACTAAGCCACTGTTAGATATATCCCTTGAAGTCAATATGCAGGTATCTTCAAGCATCTCCCTTTGAATTTCAATTATGCTTTACTAGATTATTAAGCTTCGAATCAGGGGAATATATTCCCCACCTGAAACTGTTTATGTATGTTTCACTAATATCATGATTAAAGTGGATCACTTTATGGCTTATATGTACAGCTTATTTAGTTGGGAGGAATTGGATGAAAAAGAGAGGAAAGGATTTAAAGTATTAAACAACTTTCAGCGTACACCAAACTTATGAGAACTGATAGGATTTGGATAGAAAGGGAGGAAATAAAAGTAACTTCCTGAATAATGCATTTGTGGAAGTGTGAAATGTCATTCTTAATTTTGGCATTAGAGATGTGTACTTAGACATTTGTGAATTAATAAAATTGCTGGAAGTTGTGCTTTACCTACCTCCACTCTTCTTTGAGGGCAATGCCTTGCCCTTAAAAGCTACTCCCTCTGTTCTCTTATTTTTTTGCTCCATAGAGGTAATGTTACTTTATTAATATTTGGTTGGAAAAAATGATGAGAGAGAAAAGTGGTGGGGTTAATGGGGTGGTTGTGAGAGTAAAGGTGTGGTCCCATATGTCCAAAAATAGAATGGGGCAAAATTAAAGGGACAAACTAAAAAGGAAATTGGGGAAAAATAAGGGACGGAAGGAGTGCTTAATATCATTGATTGAGAACAAAAGGATCCTTTTCTTCTTCTTCTTCTTCTCCCCCCCACCCCCCCCTCCCCTCTTTTTTTTTAATTGTTTTTTATTTGTGTGTGTGTAATTTATCCTTGCTTTCAGAATTTGCAGTTAGGGTGTGGCTGTTCACAATCAACTTGCTATCCTGAGACATGTGATCACGTATACCTGTTCAACAATGATTTCGAGTATGCGAAGGATATCGATGGAAAGCTTATGGAAGGAAGATTCCCTTATGATGATAAAGGTCAACTAGTTCTGAAGGTACTCATTTTAGAGAATACGAGCTCTTTACTCTTTGTATTCTTTAATCTCATTGGTTATAGCTTTTGTGTAGAACTAATTGCAACTTAGAAAGGACTAATTCTTGTTTTCCTATTTGTTATTTCTTTTGAAATCCTTTTGTATTGTTCTTTGCTTTCTGCAAATACCTAGTTTGCGGTAAATGTCCTTTTCCACCTTTATTTGAGATTGATATATACCACTATTATGTTGGTCTTTAAAATGTTGATGCAAATTTCATCTATATATAACCTTATTATTCTCTTTTCTCTTTAGAACTTGGCTATGTACTGAAGTAATAAAGAATTTTTTTAATTCTTGGTGATGTGCAGGATAATTATCTCATCTATGAATGCAATAACCTGTGTAAGTGTAGTAGCAACTGCCCAAATAGGGTATTGCAGAATGGGGTTAGAGTAAAGATGGAAGTCTTCAAAACATTGAAAAAGGTTTTATTTTATTTTATTCTATTATCTAATGTTTTGAGATTGTTTTGACATTTGGAGCATCAATTGACTCTTCCAGCTTTATTGACAGGGTTGGGCACTCCGAGCCGGTGAAAAAATTTTGCGCGGCACCTTTGTATGTGAATTTGTTGGTGAAGTATTAAATGAACAGGAAGTTGACAGAAGGCGCAAAAGGTTCATGTCATATCCATCGTTGTTGTTACCTTATGGAATTGCTAGTGCACTTACATAAGCCCTTTGTGTTGTTAGGTGTAAAAAAGAAGGTCGTGATTATATCTATGACATGGGTACCCATATGAAGCACATGAGTGAATTGATTGAAGGGGAAGCCAAGTATTTTATTGATGCTACAAAATATGGAAATGTTTCGCGTTTCATAAATCACAGGTGAGAAAGCAGTGGTCTAAGCTACTTGGTGAAACATAATTTTTTAGTCTGGCCCATATTTTAGGTCAAATACCTGAACCTTTTCTTTTAGGTTCACATTTAATGTGCCTCTGATGAATAGCTGCAAAATTGTGCTATTTTTGATATGTTATTGCATTGTGAAAAATTCTTAAGTCTGTGTATACTTGTTATTGCAATATTGCACTGTCAAAAAAAGTTTTAGGTTGTCTATGAGATTGATTTTGCTCAAATAAAGGAAAGTCTGTTATTAGGGTTAGCTAAATTGCTTACTCATTTTCTTGGAGTCTGCTAGATCTAGTGAGACTGATAGAACTTTTAGGTGTTGGTTTATAGATTCTTTAATCATTTTCCGCCATTTTGGGTGCAAGAATCATGAATTATATCCATTCAAAAAAGTTTGCCTTCAGTCATAGCAACTTAAAAACTATTTTATTAAAGATTGGTAGATACATCAACCTGTTGCACGAGACAAATTGATGTATCATAGAGAAAGTTGACTTGTGCAAGCACACATTTTTGAGATATCTAATACAACCAGATTCTAGATTTATCGTTAACTAGTGATAAAGCATTTGTATAATCATGCCCGTTTTAGATGTTTGCTTCATACTCAAATTATAATTTTACTTACTTTTCTATGTGCTGTCTGATTTTGTTGCCTGGTGCTCTAATTGTGTTTTCTTGTGTAGCTGCTGTCCAAATCTTGAAAGTCACCTGGTTCTTGTGGAAAGCATGGATTTTCAGCTTGCCCATGTTGGTTTCTATGCAAAACAGGATGTAAGTGAATATTCAACGAATTGATCTTTTATAATTTTCTGGGGTATTCATAAGAGAAACTATTTTGCAAGTGGTTTTCTTATTCATAAGAGAAACATCATTTTTTTCCAATCTTCATTGCCATCACTTTCCACTTGTAACTTGTGTATATTGGGACAGATAGCTGCTGGGGAAGAACTTTGTTTTGACTTTCACTATGAGCTACTGGCTGGAGACGGATGCCCCTGCTTGTGCGGAGCTTCGACTTGTAGGGGTCGCCTTCACTAATATTATTAGCAAATTAGCATCAATGGCCAGGCAATCAGTTGCATCACAGAAGCTGATTTTAAGGGCCTTTGTAATGGTCTTGTAGTCACGCTGCTAAATTTTCCATTGACTGCTCGAGTAGAGCTGAGCTATGCAGTGTCGGGAGCCTATTGCCTTCTTGTAAATTGATTGTACCATTCTCTCCTCTTTCACTTCTTTGTATATACAATTTTCCATTTCTATTGTCTGATTAGTTGCATTTCTAGAGAAACATAGAAATTTCGTAGCATCTTTGGAGAAATTAGTCTCTTGTTTTAGTTTATATCAGTGATCCTACGGGAGTGACACTAATATGCAATTCAACTAGTGAGTTGCTCCTGTAAGTTCTGGCGTTGGTAACAATTTACATACCTTATTATCTGTTTCCTGTTTGTTTGATAAACTCTTTGCAGGATTGAGATGGCGAATTAAAGGCGTGGGTTGAGAGTTCTTGAAATTGGATGTTCCAAGTTGTTTCATGTAAAAGAGTTGTACCAACCAAGTACTAATGATCATACTCGTAACTCGGAAGTATTTTGTTTGTAGGGTATCAAGGGCTAGTCTTTCATTGTACAATTCCTTTGTTGCTTCCTCTTGTTGTAATTAATCGAATATGTGAATTAGGATTCGAATACTGAACTACAAGTAGTTAATCAAAGGTGCATTTTTTGTAAGTATTTTGAGCAAATTCTGTATCTCAAACAACATGATTCCACTTTACATTCCAAGAACCGTATCTTTTTATTGAAATTAAACATGAAATAGAACATTTCTTAGGTAATAAAATTTGGGACATTATCTTGAACAGCTGGATAGATTAGAAGATTCAGAACATCATCTCTTTTTCATGATGCACTAGAAAGACAAGGGAGAGGCCATAGCTAATCCCCACCAAAATCGCCATCCCTACAATAACATTATTCAGTTAACTAATCGACCTCTACAAAAACTTGTATACAACGGATGTATTCTATCCAAAATATCAACTTCCGAGAACATCTGCTTGGCCAAAAACCTTACCATATTCGATGTATGATCCGAGTTCCATATTCTTTGTAGGATCCATCTCCGACGATAATTGCAAAATCATAGAAGAAGTGACTAACCCACTTCCAATCTTCTCTCTAATCAATCTATGTCTCATATCAAGAGACCAAATCCCAATCATGTCACCAAGGTAGTCTTCCAAAAGAACCTTAGTAAGCAAGAATATCCCTAGCCAAAGTGTTAGTTTACCTGTTGCTGTAGTTCTTTTTAATGAAACAGTTGCTAAGCTGCTCATCAGGTTAACATAAGCAGCACAAGAATACAGAGGAATCCAGAAATACCAATCTAAAAATACAAGAAAATATTAATTAATAAGTTATAATAAATGTGCTTAAGTCTTACAATAGTGTAGTATTATGTAAGGTGATGGTCATGTTAAGGGATTAAGGGATACCTGGATCATTAAATTGAACTGATGCAGAAGCAAGAAAGAGGGCAGCCATTAGTATAGAGCTTATTCTGTAGAGTTTTGCCATTTTTCTTTTGATATGAAGACTATTTTAGGAAATAAAAATTCATATAAGATCAATATAGTATATGCATAAAATATGATATTATTATATGTTGTCAATGATTGTTTATGGGTTTAATGGAGCTAGTAAAATTGAAGTCAACAGTTATTAAACAAATTGGAAAAGAAAGTTTTTATATATTGAACTCTTAATACACTCTAGGAGATAACAAATTAAGGTACTCTGAATTAATAGACATAATGTGCCTACCCAATTATTCTGATTAAGGGGTTTGATTGTTAAGGTTTATAACTTACTATTTCACAATAAATTGTGAGAGTAATAGTTATCTCTTTTGTTCAATTGGCTTTTTCACCACATCTTCATTTAATAAAAGAATAATTAGCCTATATGATACCGACCGACTATAATAGACTGGTGCATGGAGCAACACCAACTATGAGGGGTGTATAGGTGCACACCAACATCTATTTGGGTGTTAACACCAAAAAATAAACATCTATTTGGGTGTGCATCCTTCAAAACCCCGTCCTCCCCTTCCTACTCCCCACCCTTGCTTTATCATTGCTTGAAATTCGAAAACTTTACTTGAATATGGCGGGATTTCTTATGATATTGGTATGTTAATAGGTGTAGCCGTGTAGCAAACATTATAGTTGGTATTGTCTTGTACACCCGTTTTAGATAGGACTAACTCTTATACCTAAATGTTACATTTAGTGCCATACTAAAGCCAATTTTTCATTTAATGAAGGTGCCAAATATTTCTAGACTTTTATATAGTACTCTACCACTCTCTCATTTCATTCTAGTTACTCCATTTGCTTTTAAAAGACAAAGTTCATCAACTTTGCCTATGATTTCTTATGAAATCTTGCTAGATCTGTTTAAATAAAAATATTTCCGAGAGCAAATTAATGAGGCCACTATAGTGTAATTGACTAAAAAGATTGAGATTTCAAATGAAACATGATGCATCTTGCATGAAAGAGAGGTCGTTAGCCTTCTAGGCAAGCAACTAACCAGTAGTACTTATCTTCCTCTGGATAACATGTCACATGTAGACAGCGATGAGTGTGAAATGCCAAAATATAGACATGCTTGCATAATTTTCAATTTTTATGTTGATTTTTTTTCAGTTTTTGACATTAGCTTTGTCCCTGTTTCTTTCATGTCTGCAGGTTCTTCTTGTACCCAATCCCCAAAACCCAATCAAACTTCGGATATTTGCTGCTCTGGCAAGGAGAATCATTGCGTTGGTGACTAACTAGTTTTTGATTTTTAAGTACGGATGTTACACCGACACGTTGTCCTTTCCCTTCTTCTGCAATTGAATTACATTCTGTTTCGGTAAGAAAACAATAGGACCTTTGGCAGATCCTTTTCGAGGGGGAAGACTAATCTCGGTCTAAGTGACAACTAGCCTCGGGGGTGGTTGCCGAGAAATGTCCCTCTGATGCTAAAGTCAGTTCAGTGTATTGAGAGTAAATGCTATGTAAGAGAATTAATTGCTTGAGGCTGATGGTGAATATTTCTGAATATATCATGAATGAGACAAATGAAGGCTATTATACCTTTGCACAATAGAAGAGAACTGGGCCCTTGAAGTCAAATGGGCTTGCCATGCTGACTGGGCTTGGCTGACTTAGCATGATTTTGGAGAGTTGAACCTTGCATTGGGCTTTTGTTAATTAAATTATTTGGACCGGCCCAATTAGTGATAACTAAATTGGACCCAAACACATTCTATCGTCGTGCAATATACCCCGTACGTATATCTTATCATATTCGTGTGATGAGTTAATTCATTCAACTTCATGTCAGGTTAGATTACTAGTATTAGAATCGAGTCATATTCGAATCTATTGTCATTGATGTATTTAAATCATAATCGAATATTAAAATATCAATGCGTTATTATATGTATTCTGTCTTTATAACTTGTGTGTAACCTTAAAAAACAATTAAAAAGGAATGTAAGGATTACACATGTATAGCAGCTAGATTACACAAGAAAGTGCAAATATGACATATGACATCAATATAGAATGAGATAGAAGAACTTTATATGTATAGTATAGCTAGAGGTGGCCAGTGGGCCGGGTTGGACCCAGCCCACCCTAACTCGCACGGCTGGTGGGTCACGTGGGTCCGACCCGGTTTCAATCCGGCACAGCTCGGCACAGCTCGGATTTAATCCGGGTTGTGTCGTGGGTCCAAAATTTTCGACACAACCCATTTCAACCCAGCTCAGTTTAACCCGTTTGATTCGACCCAAATCGCACAACCCGTTTTGACTCATTTAATTCGACACACCTAGCCCGTGAACCCACCTAACCCGACCCACCTGGCACAACCCAGCCCGCACGGCCCACCCGCACGAATGACCCACCCAACCCGCACGAGCCAACCCACCTAACCCGCACGCATGACCCACCCAACCCGCACGCATGACCCACCCAACCCGCACGGCCGGCACAACCCGCACGGCCCGCACAACCCGCACGGCCCGCACAGCCCGCACAATTCGCACGACCCGCACGGCCCGCACGGCCTAACATCCATTTTTTAAAAAAAACGGCTAGTTTTTTGTATCTAACGGCTAGTTTTTTGTATCTAACGGCTAGTTTTTTAAGTGTATGATCATCCATTCTATTTTTCCTATAAATACCAATTCCATTTCACTCAAATTTCCACACAAATTCAAGCTTTCTTTCTCTCTTACTTAAAAATTCTTATTGTTCTCAAATTCTCAAGTGTTATATAGAGTTATATTTTTGTTAAAAAAAATCTCCTTAATATTATTATTAGTATTCTTAAGATTCTAAAAAAAAAAAGTTCTTCTCCATATTATAATTAGTAATCATACAAAAAAAAAAAATGAGCTCAAGAGGAGGAATGGGAAGGAGTCAAAGTGGTGGTCGAAGTGGTAGCCAAAGGAGTGGTGGTGCAAATTTTTCGTATGAAATTAATACGGAAAATTTAAACCAATTTGTCAATGAATATGGAGATTATGGTTTAGGAGATAGGCAAAATATTCAAACGTCTCCACCACAACATTTCTCCCACGAGTCCCACCAATCATCAAGTTCAACTATGCCACCTCCATCGCAACCAACATCTCAACCTTCATCTCAAGGTAATTTCTAATTAAATTTTTATTGTTATGAATATTTAAAAAAACTATTATTAATGATTATAAAGTTAGTTTAGTTTCCAATTTTCTATGATTTACAATTAGTTAATTACCATGAAAAATGCGTTTAAATAAGTATAATTAAAATATTTAAAATTTAAAAGCTTATTTTCATGAATAGCATTTAAAAATTAATTTTAATAATTTGATTTATGAAAGGTGGTGGCGGTGAAAGTAGAGGTCGAGCACATTTTTCTTGGGTGTGGAAACATTTTGAACGAGTTGAGGTCACACCCCCGGGATGGCAACCTGGTCAACCAAAGAGGTTCACGTGTACATGCCTAGTTTGCAAGGCGCTAGGTGCAAATGTCAAGTCATATAATTGGAAAACGGGAGATGGAACCGGAACCTTGAGTCGGCATTTGCAAAATAAACACGACTTGTTCGAAAATGGCCCCCGTCCTTCGGGGGGTGGTGTCCAAACACAATTGGGTGGATACATGAACCAACCCGGCGGAGGTACACCTTTCATTTATAATAAAGATAGAATGATTGATGAAATGAGTACTTTAGTTATTGCTAATGAATACCCTTTTAGTTACGGTGAAAATGCAAACGTTGAGCATTTTAATAAAGTTGCATTACAACCTGCATTTACTCGTGTCCCCCGAAATACCCTAAGACGTTATACACAAACTTCTTATTATAAGTATAGGAGTGGTTTGATTGAATTATTTCGTACTTTTGATGGTCGTGTTAGTTTTACAAGTGATACATGGACTTCTAGTTTTGGCGAACCTTTTCTTTGCATTACTGCTCATTGGGTGGATGATGATTGGCTTATTCAAAAACGTATACTATGTTTTCAAGCTATGGAAGAAAGGCATACCGGTTTTAACATCAAAGTTCGTATTTTGGATTGTTTAAAAGAATTTCACTTGAATAATAAAGTTTTTTCTTTGTCTCTTGATAATGCAACTGCAAACACAAAGTGTATTGACTATTTGAAAAATGACTCCGAGTTGAATTTGTTGTTGGGTGGTAGTCTCTTGCATGTTAGATGTTGTGCTCATATTTTGAATTTGTCTGTTCAAGAGGGTCTCGCTGAGTTGCAACCATTGCTAAACCCAATTAGAACAGTTATAAAATGGATTAGGATTACTCAGTCAGTTAGAAGAAAGTACATAGCTATGTGTAAAGAGAGAGATCTTAAGAAAAGACAATGGTCTATTGATACCCCTACCCGTTGGAATTCTACTTTCAAGTTGTTGAGTGATGCTATAAAGTATCGTGATATTTTGACCCAACTTTACAATGAGACTCGTGTTGATCCTACTGAGTTAATAACCGAAAGTCATTGGACTAATGCTTCTTTTGTTCGTGATGTTTTAAATGCTTTTGATAGTGCAACTCATATTTTCTCTTATATTTATGAGCCTAACGTTCATTTAGTCATAATTGAGTGTGTTAAAGTTGTTCACACCATCGAAGAGCATATGAAGATTGATGGACTTCGTCCCGTTCTTGATAGCATGAAACGTAAGTGGCATACTTATTTTAGTGAATTTCCAATCATTTATGGAATTGCTGCTATTCTTGACCCCGGTGTCAAAGCTGAAGGTTTGGAAAATCTTTTAGAATTTTATTATACAAGTTTAAGTATCGATTATGATGTTAGTGAATATATTAACAAATGCAAATCTGTTTTGGGAGACCTTTATGATCATTATGCATCTATTTATGGTTTTGATTTGGCAACACCAACTACTACTAGCACTTCCGATTCTAGATTTGGTTTTCTTGATAAAGTTATGAAAAAAAAACACAAAGCATCTACATCATTCTCATCATCATCTTCTTCAACACTTGCTATTAATGATTATTTGTCATATCAACATGAGACCAACAACAACTTTCAAATTATAAAATGGT